GAGAGAGATGAGCATGGAGGTGGGGGAGGGCAGAGGGAGAGAGAGAGCGAATCTCGAGCAGACTCCCTGCTGAGCATGGAGCCTGAGACAGGGATCAATCCCAGGACTCTGAGATCATGACCTGAGCCAAAAAATCAAGAGTTAGACTCAACCAGCTGAGCCACCGAGACACCCCTTAATTGATGTGTTTAATGCAATTATTACTTTAATGTACCATTTAATGTAATTATTGCTATAATAAGTTTACATTTCTCTTTCTCCTTTTTCCCCCTATTTGTTTACTTTCTGTTCCTCTCTCCCTTTTCCCTCCTTCTTTTGGATTATTTGAATATAGAATTTCAATTTAATATTTCTGTTGGTTTTTTTTTTTAGCTATCCTTATTTATTATTCTCTAGTAGTTCTCTAGAGATTACAATATACATCTTTAACTTTTCACAGTTGATAATGTATACTGTTATACTATTATTACTGTTAAAATCTTATGTAAAATATTAAAGCCTTATAGACCCATACCTTCCCCATCCTTTATGTTATGGTAGTTATATATATTACACGTACACCCCTCATGAATCCTAGCAGACAATGTTATAACTTTCATCTTCAGCATTTTAGTGATTTATAAGAACATTAGCAAGTAACGCAAAAAGGAAAAAAAGTCTTGAACTCACTCAGATATTTATCATTTCCAGGGCTCTTCATTCTTTCCTGACTATCTGAGTTTCTCTCCTATATAATCTCCCTTTACCCTGAAGAACTTCCTTTGGTACTTCTTGCAATGTTGATCTGCTGGCAATGAATTCTTTCAGTTTTCCTTTATTTATTTATTTATTTATTTATTTATTTTTGCATTCACTGTTGGAGGATATTTTTGCTGGTTATAGAATTTTGGATTGAATTTTCTTCATTCAGTACTCTATTTTTTTTTTAAAGATTTTATTTATTTCAGACAGAGAGAGAGAGAATGTGTATAAGCAGAGGGGAGGGGCAGAGACAGAGACAGAAGCAGACACCCTGCTGAGCAGGGAGCTCAACGTGGGACTCAATCCCAGGACCCAAGCCAAAGGCAGACATTTAACCAGCTGAGCCACCCAGGCGTCCCCATTCAGTACTTTAGAGATGTTCTACGTCTTCTAGTCTGCATGGTCCTTCTCCAGCATAAACTATGCCCATTTGCTCTTGCTGCTTTCAGTAAGTGTGTTACATCTGGTTTTCAGCAGTTTGTGCAATACCTGGAGGTGGGGTTCTTGTGTTTATTTTGCTTTGTGTTTGTTTAGCATTTTGTTGTTTTACATTTCTGTCTTTCATCAAATTTAGGATATTTGGAGCCTTTATATTTTAGATATTTTTTCCTGCTTCATTCTCTTGATATTCTAATGTAATATATGTTGGACTATTTGAGACCATCTAACAAATCCCCAAGGGACTCAGTTAATTTTTTTTTCTCAGTTCTTTTCTCTGTGTTTTTCACCCTGGAGAGGTCCTCTCCTCAGTCTCAGGCTTACTTGTATTTCCTCCGTCATGTCTATGCAGCTGCATCCAATCAGCGAATTCTCTACTCCAAAAATTGTGTTTTTCAGTTCTAGAATTTCCATTTGGTTCATTTTTTTTTATTGTTTCTGTTTCACTGCCAATGCTTCCCACTTCTCTGCTGAAGTTTTCATTCATTGGAAATATCTCATTTTCCTTATCTGTTAGTTCCAATATTTTGTTCGTTTTGGAGTCGGACTCAATCTATTTTCTTTCCTCTTGAGACTATGTTCCATTTCTTGATTCTTAGAATGTTGAGCAATTTTGGATCATATCCTGGATATTACAAATCTTAAGTTGTGGGGATTTTATCTTCTATTATTTTCCTCTGAGAAGTGTTCTTCCCTTTGTCTTGGTGGCTGTGTTCCTTGGCTAGACTTGAACTGCACACTGCTTCTTGGGCTGTGCCTCCCATCTGAGTTCTGCTCTTCTGCTGTGAGGGACGGTGCTTGAGTCTGTTCCATGTGGGTGTGATTCCTGGGTCAGCCCGAGCTCAGATAGAAAGAATTTGGGAATCCCCCTCTGGTGTCTTCCCTTCTGGAATTTCCCCTCTCCTCAGTGTTCACAGGTTTTGGACTTCACTTCTTGGTTTTCTTCAGACAAAATGGCTGCAGGGTTTCCCACATATACTCCCACCCCTGCCATGTACTGCTTAGATCTGGCTAGAAGCCACACAAAAGGGATTTACTTGTTTATTTTTCAAAGTGAGTGTGAACTCCCCATCAGAGTCTACATACCTGTGTCTCCTCTCTAGTACTTTCAGGTAGTTTTTTGGGTTTGGTTTTGTTTGGTTTGATTTGGTTTGGTGGTTGTTGTTTAATTTCCAGGCTTAAAATTGCCCTCTGTGAGCAGGAGGGCAGGTGGTGCTGTCCATAAAGGGTCTGTCATGCCTAGAGGCAGAAGCAACTCCATGATGCTTACGTTTTAGTCAGGGGACAGGAGATAAGCTAATGAGAGCACAGTAATGTTGTAGAAGAAATAAATTAGGTTGAGGTGATCCAAGGACTGACCTTAGTTTAGGTCGTTAGGAAGGTCTCTGAAGAGCTCCAGTTGAACTGACACCTAAAGAACAGAAGAATTTGGTCCTGCAAAGGGCCTGCTGAGAAGTGTTTCAAGTAGGGGCGCCTGGGTGGCTCAGTCCATTGAGCGTCCAACTCTTGATCTGAGCTCAGGTCGTGATCTCAGGGTTATGAGATCGAGCCCTGCATCAGGCTCTGTGCTAGGCATAGAGTCTGCTTAAGATTCTCTCTCTCCCACTCCCTCTGCCCCTCCCCTGCCTCTCTCTCTCTCTCTCTCTCTCTCTCTCTCAAAAATAAATAAATAAATAAATAAATAAATAAATAAATATTTAAAAGAAAAGGAAAAGGAAAGACAAGGGGGGAAAAAAAGAGAGAAAAAGAAATGTTTCAAGTAAAGGCAACAGCAGATACCGAAGCTGTTAGGGCAGTTGCGAGAGGCCAGTGTGACCAAAGCACAGAGGGTGAAAGGAGGAATGGCATGAAATGAATTCCAGAGGCAAAGAGACTGTGTGGAACCGGGGAGGCCCTGATAAGGAACTGGCAATTAATGGTTCAATGCGATAGACTAGGATGGCTACCGCCACAGGGGGATGCTTACCAAGCAGATCTGACCCCTCGTGTTTCTTTGTCCGAATAGCCAGACCTTAGCAGGCATGACTGGTAAATAGTGTAGTCTTGTGTTTTTTCGTTTTTAACAACGTAAAACAATTTTATTTATAGGGTCTTAGATTCTGCATTGCGGCTAACTTTTGTAACGTTACCATCTATCGTGTTTTGACTGAATAACAAGATTACCCCTAATTATCTGAAGAGGCTATTAAAGTACTTCTTCCTTTTCCTACTACATGTCAGCATGAGGCCAAATTTTCTTTATATATTCCAACCAAATTAACATATCACAGCAGATTGAATGCAGAAACACATCCAGTTATTTTCTAATAAGTCAGACATTAAAGAACATTTTTAGATATTCAAAATGTCAATCTTTTTAAAAACTATTTTTGTTTTTAAAAACTCAACAATTGGGGTGCCTGGGTGGCTCAGTGGATTGAAGCCTCTGCTTGGGATTCAAGCCTTCAGCTTGGGTCATGATCCCAGGGTCCTGGGATCGAGCCCCACACCGGGCTCTCTGCTCAGCAGGGAGCCTGCTTCCCCCCCTCTCTCTCTGGCTGCCTCTCTGCCTACTTGCGATCTCTGTCTCTCAAATAAATAAATAAAATCTTAAAAAAAAAAAAAACCTCAACAATTTTCCATACAAACGTGCTATTGAACATGTCATGCTTTTGCCATTTTTAAATAGGTCATGATTAAATATTTATAAAATGCCTGTTTTAATTTTCAATACGGTAGATATTGATGGACAGAATTCACACAAACAGACGCTGTTTGTGGTCCTCAGTAATTGTTACTAATATACATGAATCCTGAAACCAAAGCAGTTGGTAACTGCTATGTTAAAGCTATGTTACCTGGGAAAGATAATACATTAGTTACATAGTGAAATCAGGCAGAAAGGCTTTTTTTTTTTTTCAAATTTTTATTTAAATTCTGGTTAGTTAACATACAGTGCGTAATATTGGTTTCAGGAGGCAGCGTAGTTGTATGATTGTCGGACCACCCCATCTGCTGGCATCGACGGCTCGAAAGCTAGAAGGCCATGCAGTGGATTTCTGCAGCATGTGCCAAGTTGAAGTGGGTGACCCTAGCCGCCCCCCCTGCCCCCACCCCTGAGGTATCTGATGTCATGGGAAAGAAAATACATTGCTTTGTATCTATAATAATATAATGACCAATAAAAGCACAACTAAGGGCGCCTGGGTGACCCAGTCAGTTAAGCATCTGCCTTCGGCTCAGGTCATTATCCCAGGGTCCTGGGACCAAGCCCCGAGTCAGGCTCCCTGCTCAGTGGGAGTCTGCTTCTCTGCCTGACCCTCCCCACTACTTGTGCTCTCTGTCCCTCTCTGTCTGAAACAAATAAATAAAATCTTTAAAAAAAAAAAAAAACAGGGGCGCCTGGGTGGCTCAGTGGGTTAAAGCCTCTGCCTTCGGCTCAGGTCATGATCTCAGGGTCCTGGGATCGAGCCCCGCATCGGGCTCTCTGCTCAGCAAGGAGCCTGCTTCCCTTCATCTCTCTCTGCCTGCCTCTCTGCCTACTTGTGATCTCTGTCTGTCAAATAAATAAATAAAAATCTTAAAAAATAAAACAAAAAAAACAAAAAAAACAAAAACCCACAGCTAGAAAGAAATGAAAAGCACAAGCAGAACGAAAAAGACCATAGCAGAATGAGGGGTCGTAGTTCTGGGTAGTCGTGCTGTCCCACGGTTTCTGCGTCAGAGCAGCTGCCTTCCGTTGGTAAATACGGTTATGCTTTAGCCGCGTGTGTGCTCACAGGTGTCGGTCTGATTTCTCTGGGGAGCACTAAAGAGTCCCTGCTTCCTCTCCTTTGGTTTAGATGACAGCGCCTCGGCTGCCAGCAGCATGGAGGTGACAGACCGCATTGCCTCCCTGGAGCAGCGTGTCCAGATGCAAGAAGACGACATCCAGCTGCTCAAATCAGCGCTGGCGGACGTGGTTCGGCGGCTCAACATCACGGAGGAGCAGCAGGCTCTGCTGAACAGGAAAGGACCTACCAAAGGTGGGCATTTTCGGTGCGCAGAGCAGCGGACACTTGGGCTGGAGCAGGGGCTCGTCCCTAGCGGACACACGCGGTTTTCAGCAGCGCCGGAGACGGGAGACCAGAACATCGACGAGCTGGTCTCAGGGCTGCCAGAGCCCTCCCACGAGGCGGGACGGGGTTCCTTTGGCTGGAAGTCAGTGAGCTGTTCAGCCCAGGGCTGTACACGCGTGGGTGATCAGGAAAGGCTTGGAACCACCCGCAGTGGACGGCTGGGAGCAACCACTGACAAGTTCAGGTTGGGAGTACGTTGCGAGGCAGAACCTAGAACCAAAAAACCCCACAATCCTTTGGGCTTCCCAGAGGCTGTTCCCCCTAGAAACTTCTCAACGGCTCTGCTTTCTTTCTCTGTGCTCAGCTTGTCTGCTACCATTCAGTTCAGCCCAGCCAATGGCTAAATATCCTACGCCACAGCCAAGCTCGGAGCCGAGGCCTGGGGGCCCAGAGGGCAGGCCCTTCCCTGAGGAGTTTAGAACCCGCAAGGAGTTTAGAACATCACCCCCTGCCCCCACTTGGAGCTCGTACGCTCCTCCCGGGCACAGCCTCCTGTTCCTTTCGAACCTCCGGCTCTGCTGTCCAGGAGAACGGAGCCTGCCACAGAATCCAGTACCTAGTGGGTTTCCGGCAAATTCAAACCATCATTTCATTTCCCCGTGGCGTGTGTGTGTGTGTGTGAGAGAGAAACATAAAAAAAGCAATATTTGTGTTTGAAGTAACTTTGTAGTGACCCTCTTCTTAAAATTTGGAAGTACAATGTCTCATAAAAGCTTCTGTCCTGCTAGTCAGTCAGTGCTCTGATGTCTGCTTGCAACACACATCCACTGCTCATCGTCTGTTCCTCATGGCTCACTTTAGAAAACAGAATGCATCGTGGCTTAAATTCCTTTGATTAAAACATTTGAGATCACACTGGCATCTAAATGTCCCTTTAAAATTAGCTTTTTTTTTTTTTTTGGTTGTTTGGATTTAACAAATTATTTCACAGTTACCATGTTTTTCTTGGAGTCAGGAGAGGGTACTGTCTGATGGTGCATATGTTACTTTTTTCTCAAGCACTTGGCTACGTTTCACATCTCCATGGAAAGAAATCTATTTCTTTGTCCTTCTGGGTAATTATCACCAGCTTGATGAAGAGATATGTGCTGGGCAATGTCTCCAGATTTCCGTAATTTTATTTTTATCTGAGTATGGTGGACGCACAATGTGGCATTAGTTTCGGGTTTACAACATAGTGATTTAGTATCTCTGTATGCTGTGTTCACTACAAGTGTAGCCATCTGTTACCATGTAACACTACCTCTTGAAAAACCCTTTTATTTATTTATTTATTTAAAAGATTTTACTTATTTGAGAGACAGAACGCAAGCTAGGGGCAGGGCGGGGGGCAGAAGGAGAGGGAGAAGCAGGCTCCCCACTGGGGTTTGATGAGGACCCCAAGATCAGGACCTGGGCTGAAGTCAGATGCTTAACTGAATGAGCCACCCAGGTGCCCCTTGAATAATCCTTTTAAATCATGTTTTTTTTCTTCCTGCTAAGTTAGAGTGATCAGGGTATTCTAAACAGAAAGCAGGTTATTTTAGGAATTCCCGACCTGCTTAGCTTTCCAAAAATAAAACCCTAAAGGGTATATTCAAAATTGTTGCTTCCCATAAAGCATCAGACTTCCAAAAGTTCTGTTTTGTTTGTTTGTTTTTGTTTTAGTTCGGGAAAAAATAATACAAGAGACCTACCGAGGAGTTTTCTTCTTTTGATTAAGAGTAAAGTTTGGTTTTTATAAAAGTTCATCTAAGAGAGTAATTTGTTTTCATAGTGAGCTCTATTTCTGTATAAGATTCTCTTCACGAGTAAAAGTAAATCAGAGCATACTAGCCAGGGGGTCACCCCCAAGAGATAGAACAAAGATAAGAGTGCAGTGGGCCAGTTTCCCCTAAGCAGGTGATTGCAGGACAGGGAAGCGGGGGCCTGTCCAAAGCTCTGGGTCCCGGCTTCCCTTCCGCGGGAAGCCGTGGGGGTGCCTGTGCACCTCTAGCTGGAGAGCTGTCCTCAGTAGCCACGTCTCAGTTGGGGGATCAGACAAGATGGATCGGAAGCAAACTTCCTTTGGTTGTAAAAGGCCCCATTATTTTTATTCTCACACTCTCCATTATTTTGGCCTGCCGTCCCCATACAGACTTGAAGAAGACGGGACACACGGCATGTGAACGAACTGGTCAGAAGCTTCGGGTTCGGCGTTTCGAGCTCTGGGTGCACATCTCTGGGCTGTTTGCCTGTGGCAGGAACGGCTGTGCCACCCTGGGGGCGGGGAGCTTTCAAAGTGCTCAGCGGGGTCCGGCTCCGAGACAGCCCGGGCTGGGTGCCGGGTCCGCACCATAGCCGCAGTGTGGCCTGCAAGGCCGTCCGTCATGATTCTAATCTCTTTCTGTGACAGAACTTCACTTATGTCAAGAAAGTTCTGTGACCTTTTAGCTTTGACTTACTTTATTATTCTTCGTGGGGCTTCACTCGCGTAACAGTGAGAACTACAGTCTCGGGCAAGTAATCACGGTCAGATCAAGTTCATGGCTTCCCGAGACGGGGGGCAGACTGTGGCCAACCCAGCCGATGCCGGGCCTGTGCACGTGGAGTTTACACAGGGGGGTACGTCGCGGACCACTCTGCTTTGACAACATTCTCCTGCCCCTGGGATTTTTAACCAGTGATACTGCCCTGGATCTCAGGAGGTGCTCAGTCTCTACCTGAGCTCCCCAAATTTCGCTATTCTTCTTCTCTTTTGCCTTTTTTTTTTTTTTTTTTTTTTTTAATATTAAGGGCCGCTTACCCTGTACTCCGGAGAACCTCAGCCTGCGAAGTTTGCTTTCTTTATGTTCAATGGACTCTCAGATGGGGACATTTGGCATTTTTTAATTATGCTGAGCTTGGGTATAGTCAGAAAAGGGAATCAGCTGGTTGGTGAAGGCACATATTTTTAAAAATTCTTGGCAATATTAAAGTTTTTTCAGTGTTGTGGTTGGAGCAGGGGCAATCCTCGCTCCTTACCAGCAGTGAGAAAGACCCCCTTATAGGTGCTCTTGTGAGTAAAAGTCCAGGAGAGCTTCATGAGTTAGAGTTCACGGCCACATCATGCTATTGGGGGATAAATGGGTAGAAAGGAATGGAAGGAGTGCGAGCTCCCAGGGCATGGCTAGAAAACCACAGCCCTTCCTTCCTATGGCGTCATCGTTAAGAACGTCTGTGTTATTGGTAACAACAAGGAAAGTGCCTGTACTTTGCATGAAGAGTCAAGGGCAAGTTATAAAAATGTGTACGTGGCATAATTCAAGTAAATAGTTAAAATCTGTGCAAAAAGACAGAAAAGAACTGTGCCAAGAGTTCATTGATGGCTTGTTTGTTTTCCTGAGTGGCAGGATTGTGATTGCTTTTCTCTTTTTATATCTTTTAGTTGGTTTCTAAATATTCTTTGGTGTAATAAGCAGAAGAAATTTGTGTTTTAAAAATGACTCCTTTCTGGGGCACCTGGGTGGCTCAGTCAGTTAAGCATCTCCCTTTGACTCAGGTCATGATCCTGGGGTCCTGGGATCAAGGCCACCGGGAAGTCTGTTTCTCCCTCTGCCTCTTACCCCGCTTTTGTGCTCCCTGTCTCTCTCAAATAAATAAAATAAATTAAAAATAAATTTAAAAATAAAGATTACTCCTTTCTTACTCCTGATGCTGATCTTCACTGCGCTGAGAACAACAGCAGGGCTCAGGGCAAATGTCCTGAGGCCAGCGTTGGCTCACGCGTGTTTTCAAGAAGACAAGGAATTGTGGTTTGGAGTTAAATTCATAATAAGCCATTATATACATGCATGGCTAATTTCCATTTCAGTGCTAGGGGAGTGCTATAAGATTTCACTGTAAAATGTAGATTAAAATATAGTCACTGTCCCATGTATCTGGGATTGTCCACTTTGTTAGGCATTAACTAGCAAGTAATTCCAATTTTCATTTTACATTTTGCTTGTGGGTGCAGACCATAATCTGGAAGCTTGCCTTCTGTAAACTTTAACATACCTTTTGCAGCCTTTTTTATTGGTTATATTCTGAGCCCCATTAATTAACAGATCAGAGAATTACTAAGTAGAACCAAAACTTTCTGGTAGAGACGCTCATATGCACGTGGGTCCTGCTGTTCTGGGACATCAAGACCTTCCGGTGTCAGGACTTAGCCCCTGAGGCCACTGCTAAAAGCAGCCTGCAGCTCACCTTTCAGTAGCCTCTGCTACCCTGATGCTTGCTCCTGATTTTCAGAATCAGTAGGTATGGGTGTACCTACCATTTATTGATTGGTTGGGTACTGGACATCACAATAGATATTTTGAATATATGATCCCGTTTCCCCGCTCCATAGGTCTTTGAAGTAGGTGCTATCAGGCCCATTTTACAGATGAGAAAACAGCCTCTAGGAAATTGGATTATTTACCCTGGGTTACACAAATCCGGGACTGGTCCCCAGGGCCTGGCTGGACATGCCTTCTTCCCACCATCTGTGTTGCACTGCTTAGCAGTATCACTTAAATTTGCATTATTCAAATCAAACCAAATATTCAGGAAATGAATAACCAAAGGACTTGAAACGAGAGCTCTCCTCTCAAGATCTGCAAAGTGTCCCACACAGCATCGATCGTATTTGGCACATGATGGTGTGAGACATTATGTGTGGTCCCTTCACACACTTTAGGAGCAAGGCACAACTCACTAATTAAAATTGTACCCGCTCTGCAGCGAACGAAATTAACAAATAACTAGTTCCTTAACCCGGTTCAGTGCAATCAGCAGTTTGAGTCCTCTCTCTCCCACACTGTGCTTTCTCCTTGTCTTTCGACTTACAGACGGCTTTACTACAGAGCATAACTTTTGGGTTTTTTTTAAGACAACACACTGTGGTCTCTCTCATTTTCCCCATGAATTGCCTTCCCCGGTTT